TCAAATTAAATTTCAGAAAAGCCATAACTTCACAGTTTTCTGTTCTGGCAAAATTTCGATATGAAATTTATATGTAACAAATTTTTTTTTTTAGAAAAAGAAATGAGAGATTTGCTCAGCGTACCGTAAACAGTAATTTGCGCAGGATCCGAAAAGCGTTTGTTAGCAATATTTCGTGCTTCGCAAGTATAATTACCAGAATCGGACAAATGGGCAGCGGAAATGATCAATGAACCATCATTGGCAATAATCATATTTGAATCTGTTTGTCGTTCAATCTCTTTTCCATCTTTTATCCAAAATACCTGCATTAAATCTGATTTATTCAAATTCATTCTATCAATGAATAAAATATGTCATAAATTTATTTTTCACAGAAGAAAAAAATGCATAAATTTAATTGTAACAAAAATTTTTAATCAAGCAATTAAACTTGAAAATAAAATGAATGAGTAACGAAGATGCAAGATTATTTATTCAATTTATTTGGTGTAAAATATGAAACAATGAAAAAAGTTATTTTATTAAATTTCTAACTGTAAACAAAAAGAAATTTTTTTTTGTTACAATTAGCAAATTAAATAAGGAAAAAATTTGAACTTGTGATTTGAGGAAAATGAATTTTAACGATGGATTTTATGTGAAACTGCATAAAATGAAAGACTTAAATAAAAAGATAAAAAAGATATATCCATCATCATTAATGATATTTGCATCTTTTCAGTAAATTAGCAATCTTTCGTTAATGACCAGTTTTCGTTAAATAATATCGTACTGAATCATTAGTTGTGCAACGTATGGAGTAATTAATTATATATGTTTATCTAACTGAGGTAAAATTCATAAACATTCCCATGACAATTAATATTTTCATTTTCAATATATTTATTTATTTTAACAAATAGTAATTAAAGCGAAGAAGCGATAAAAGTTATAAGCATTCTTCTGACAATGGAAAACCAAGAAAATATGAAAGTTAATAAATGAAACTTGAAAAACCAACACGTCAAAGTTAAATTGAATTTGATTCATTTCTGATAATATTTATTTATTCCTCATAATAAGATTTAACTATTCTTTCAATTTTTTCATATAAATTAATTCGAGTAAAAGTAAATTATGAATAAATAAAATAAATCATACCTCAACTTTGGGTTCACCTTCTGGTGGTGAGCAATGCATATGTACAGTACCTCCTTCCGGTACATTTTCGGATACTGGTGTTTGATAGAAGTGTTTCCGAATGTCTGCAGTAATTTGAATTTTTAATTTGATCATAAATCATTTGCAAATTTTACGAATGATAAATTAATTTGAACAGATTGAAAAATTATCAGATTCGCGTCGAAGTAATTTAATCATTTTTTATTATTATAAATAATCTGATTTTGTTGAGCGTCTCATATAATTGTCGAAATACGGTTATGAATTGTTTTGATAATAATTTTTCACCATTCCAATTTAATTTCGAAATTTCTTATAATTCATTTGTAAAATTGTCGCAATACCTTATTTTTTCATAGCTTTCCGTAAATTGTTTACTTTATCATATTTGCTCCAAAAAAAAATATCCTTTCCCACCCTCTCAAAAAAAAAAAAACTTGGCAATATTACAATCATTAGTTGGCGGAAATTAAATAAAATGATCGGACTGTGAATGATTCCAGGAAATAACAAATTAATTAAGATAGGGATAAGCTTAAATGATAGAGAGCGTCACCTGTTTTGATCCAAAATCCACACAGTAACCTAATTATCCTCACCTTTCGCTAACATTTTTTCTTTTTGAAACTAATAAATTACAAGAATTTCAGTTAACATTAACCTCCCCCTCCCAAGAAAAAAAAATATTACAAAAAAAAAAAAGAAAAAGAAAATCTTCTAACTGAATTGTTAAATAATAAATTACTGAGGAAAATATGTGCTAACAGGTAGTAAGAAAAATGATAAGAGTGAAATGTGAAGTTGAATTACTGCTTAAAATTATTCTTAGCTTCTTTTTTTAGCAAAATGATTCATGTTATTTACATCATTCATTCATTTTAATTTTTTCATTTTGAGAGAAAAAAAATTATGATATTAGAAATAATTTTCAGAATTTTTTTTTCGTTTTTTTTGTGTTTGATTGATTTTATAAAATGTTTAAGTTATTATGTTATATGATAATAATATCGCCATTATTTCCTATTAATTTGATATAATTCTAGAGATCATCAATTGTTCGCGCATAAATTAGTCGCTAATTATTGATAGAATCGATGGTAATAGCAATAGTGAGAGTTTTAATAGTAGTAGTAATTGTAGTAATAGCAGTAGTAGTAGTAGTAGTAGTAGTTTATTATCTTGCTTTACATAAGTTGGATGAGTCATTGGTTGTAAATTTATGCTTTCAAGGAGGGGACATAGGATGTTTAGATTGGACAAACTGATTGCCCACTTCAGTAAGTTATACGGTATTAGAATTATGAAGCTCCCATTCTCACTGGGTATTACTCAG